CAGATCAAGCCCTTGCTCAGTATCACTTTCATGGTGAGTGATCTCTGGAGAAGATGACTATGGATCATTTTTATTTTGGTCTTCATACTTTTATGTATTTCCTACTTTATACTTCTTTGTATATTTTACAATTAGCAAATATTACTTTAATGATCAGAAAGTAAGCTATTTTAAGGGAAAAAAATTTTCACCTGTGTGTCAGTTTTCTTAATATTTTCTTTAATCTACTTATCCATATGACTTAGCATGGCTCAAAATTAATCATGGTCCTTTTTCAACTAGAACTTCCACATCATACCTCATTGTGTCAAATCTTAGAATATCTACTGATTTTACCAGTCAAGCAATGTTAGATCAGCAACCTGGCTGTCTTAGCATCTGCACACTACCTGTGCTTGTAAGCAGCTACATGCTCATGATGTCATGATTGCCAGGCATCCTGTTTCCATCTGTATCTGTTTATAACCAAGCATTTGGACCATCCTTAGCCTTGCCTTGATTCCTACTTCACTGGGAGGGGAAGGAGGGAGAAGGAAGAAAGGGGAACAAAATAAAGGGTAGAAAAATGCCTAAGTTTGGGTTAAAATATAGATGGACAAGGCAGAAGAGGTCAGGGCCAGAGAGAGGTAAAAGAGAACAAAAATGAAATAAAAAAGATAGGGGAGTGAAAGGAAGGATAAATTTTAAGCAGAAAAGGCAATAGTTGCCCAAATATCTGCCATATTACAATAATGATGTGCTACATTATTAGCCTACACACTTGGCTTATACATTCTTAGTCATGCCCCTTCCTGTTCATGAAATAAACAGTAACAAAAGGATTGCACCATTTTAGTGGCCCCAGGGGATACCGATGTCTCTGAGGCTACCTTCAAAAATGATCCAAAGACTCATGGAGCTCTAGAGCCACTTTATGATGGTAATAATAGCCAACATTGAGTGATTACTAGGTACCAGCAACGCTAAGCACATTACATACATTATCTCATTGATCCTCACAACAAACCCATGAGCTAAATGTTATTAATATCTTTATTTTAGAAAGCTAGAAATAATCAGTCCAAGAAATGTTTAAACATTTCTGTGCCTAGAGCCTATCCTTGGCAAAATTATGAGCAAATGAGGGTACACAGGGAAGGAAAATGGTATTTCCTTAACACCCATAATATGCCAGTTACCTCCCCTCACTCACTGCTTACCAAATCTTTCAAGGTAAGTACAGAGTACAAAGATAGTAAGTGATCGAAACATGAATTTGAAACACGTTTTGAGCCTGTCCTAGACAGTCTGAATCCAAAGCCCAAGTCTTACGTCCATAGGATTCTGAACAACTGGGATATTTTAAGGGTCCTCTAGCGCTAGTATGAGGATAGACCCAGCCTCCTAGCGCAGCCATTTTCACTTTCAAGCCAACCCAGCCTCTGTGGACTAGACAATTTATGGTCTTAAAGGCGCCTGGGGGGACTCAGACTATACAGCCTAATCCAGTAGATTTCACTCATTGGTGAAGACCCCTCAACCAAAATCACAAAGTACCTCACATGCAAGGCTCTGTGTCAGGCTTTGGGATTACAAAAATGGAATCCATTCTCTGCACTCAAGGAGTTGACAGTCTAATAGGAACACATATCCTGGAAGAGCATACACATAGACATTAGCATAAAGCATATAAGCACACGACACTACTCAACAACTATTGAGCACCACTATGTGCTAAGCACTGTCTCAAATTCGCTGGGTTTGTGTTTTCACAGGGAAAACCTAACCAATTTTAATCTATGGTTATCTCTAGCTCCTCAGAGTATTGAGTTATTAAATTTGAAGATGGAGGGTTCAGCATAATAAGTATAGTTCAAGAGTTGGCAAGGAGAAAGTAGTCATTTGAAAAGCTGCACATTTTCCTAATACTAGTCTATACTTACTTCTGCCCCCCTGCTGTCATTTGACCTGTGCTACACACGCATTAAGCATCAGATAAATTGTTGTCGAATGAACTAGTGATTATACTGCTTGAAAGGAATTACATAAACTCAAATACAGACTGAAGAAGCAACGGCAGTTTTGTCATTACTATGATTTCAGAAAGTGAGAGACTGGCAAAGATGAATCCGTTGGACTAATGTATGAGGGGCAATAGTCACAGCCCATACTTCACCACCTCTCACCATCAATGAGGAGACTTCTGCAGCACTGAGAAGGCCCATTTGGTAGACCCAACTGGGATGACTTGGAATGATGGGAGCAAACCTTTACCTTGGGTACTATTATAGAGACTTATGTTTGCATGCCTTCTGGTAGGCTACACAGCAGCTGGAGAATGAGTTCCTGCTACATTTGTGAGTATATGCATTAACATAGATTTCCTCATTCCATTGTAGGGGAAAAAAATACAAGCCCTTTCTTCAAGTAGGAAAAAATGAATATAGGAGTCTTCCTTCTAATTAAAAAGAAACTATGACACAAATCACTCATAAATAAGAATGCTTTATTTTTTCAGGTGCTGAACCCTTTGTGTTGGCAAGAAAAATAGAGAATACAGAATATTGACTTCTAGGGGAGCTAAACAAAGAACCTATTTGCCGATTGATGAAATTGAAGCAAAGGCATCAAATATGATTAAATTTGTCTATGTTATGTTCTCCATCTCATAAGTGACAAATCTCTCTTCTGTTTTTAGTTTTCAATCCAAAGAGACGATTCTTGCCAAATTGTTTTACTGATAGAGCCCATCTTAACCCATCTAAAATGTGAAACTCTATGTTCCTGTAGACATCAAGGTTTGTGAAATAGGTTTCATGTAATTGTGGGCAGTCATAAAACATAGTGCAGGTGATGGTGATAGGACATAAATTGTACCCGTTGTTAATCTCTTCAGATGCAAATTAACTTAAATTGAACTTCCTATTTTTTTCTTTCCCAGCTTAAACTGAATCCTTTGTTTCATGAACAACAACAAAAAAATTCAATAAGCTGAATCGAATAAAAGTGTTTTCAACAGTCTGCAAACTGGAAACACAATATAGTCTTGTGCTTTTAGAAGAGCTTATTCCTTAGGGTTCCTGAGATTGGTCATAAAGAATCCGCAAATAGGATAAGTTTGGGGCTGTACTGCTATTTCTGAAAATGTGTGGACATTTTTCAATCTGTTTCAATTAATAATAACCAACTACCATTTATTTAGAACCTGTTATATTTTAAGCACTGTGCTAAGTGCTTTGCAATCATTTACTTAATCCTTACAGAAACTCTGCAAGGTAGGCATTCTCTCTGCTTTACAGATGAGGAAACAGGTTCAGAGTGGTTATTTGCCACACATAACGTGATCAGTGACTGTGCACGGTCCCAACAGCTACTGCCTCGCAACTGAATTTCAGCCTCAATAGCAAATGTCCAAATTTAATTATCAAACATTAATCAAACTCTTAGCAGTGTGTAGTAAAAAATATTGTAAATACTTGTCCTCAGATGTTACAGTTGAAGACAATTCGGGCAATAATACATAACATACAAATGTAAAAAGAGGCTTAGGCAAGGGTCACATGAAAGCCAATGATGCCCAATAATGTTCTCTCCCTTTTTGAAAGCAGAAAATCACCCCAAATACTTCTTAAACACTTTTATTGGTTAGCTTTTGCTTTCCTTTTTAATCCTATAACAACACAAAAAGACACAATTGCCTCACCAGTATCAGGTGTACCACAATCTTGAAAGAAGAAACAATCCCTATGCAATTCAGTCACTCACCAGCTATAGCCCCTTACAGCAGCTGTAATTGGCCCTTTCTGGCTCCACATTCCAAATTTGTATCTCTACATATTCTTCATAAAATATTTTTTGAATCAAAAAATGAGATGAAATCCTGGGCAACTCAGGTGTCTTAACCTTCCCACACATCTACCTTTTGTGCTAGCAGGAAAAAAACAGGGGTGGGGGGGGCATAGGAAATATCTTAATACTCTACAAAGCATCATTCCCATTTTAACAGATGAGCAGGGAGGTTGGGGTCTCAGTTATCAGTTCCATACACCACCTAAGTCAAGAGGCAAAAGAAAAGTGCTGACACTGGAACTAAGGAATCTGTCTCCAATGGCAAACTGTTCCTGGACACTGGCTCAGACTCAGTGGGTTGATTATTAGAAAAACCGTTTCTTATCTGACCAGGAATTATGTAATGGAAAAACTGAAGGGAAAAGACTGCTTGTCAAAAACTTTTAAACAGAATTCAAAAATCCTACCTCCTAATCTGGCTTTGGCCAAGACAATGGGATCATATCACTAGATAACTGGGTGGAACATAAAACATACAGTCATTAGAATAGCCAATCTCTAGACCCAGTGCCTTCAAAACTCTATCCCATTTCTACTCTACATTGCAATTCCTCCTGGAGAGCAGAAACCCCACAGCACATTTCCTACAGTCTTACAGGAAATATTTATGGGCCTGTCAAGAATGATGAACTTGAAAGAAAGAACTTTTTATGATATCCAATAGAGCAGCCACCAGTTACATGTGGCTACTGAGCACTTAGCAAGTGGCTAATGCAACTAAGGAACTGGATTTTAAATTTCATTGAATCTTAATTAATATAAATTTAAATTTAAATAGCCACATATGGCTAATGGCTATTGTATTGGACAGTGCAGTTCTAGATACTACAAAAGTTAAATTTCAGCAAATAAAAATGCACTTGGAAAAAGTGAGTCTTTTCTTCAATAAGACCCATCAAACCAGCCAGGAAATCACATTACTTGTAAAGAAGAATCTTTTTCTGGGTAAACCCCTGAGGCCAGTAATGATTTATTGCCACCCAATCAGGCAAGAGGAAATAAGGAAATTCAATGGCAATCTCAGCTTCAAGATCTCAGGTGTCCTTACTCCCAGGATTTCTCTTTGTGTTTTCCTTTGAAGCTAATCTGGTGATCTGGGTCTTCCCATCCTCTCAACTGTGGGGTTGACTTTTTCCAGATGTTTTGGCAAACAGATCAAAGAAATTCTGTAGCACCATGATCAGAGAACACTCTAATTGTAATGGTCTGACAAGAAAAGAAAAAACAAAACAGGCTTTGGGACTCAAGAGGAAGATGAATTTGGGACTGAAAATGAAGAGATGAGGGCCATTCCTCCTGAACAGTTTTCCCAAGTCCATTCATGAGGAAAATCTTCAACTTCAGGAGACTCAAAAGACTTTTCTACGTGAATTTTCCTATGCTGATTGAGGTAGGCACTTCTGCTGAAGCATTTCTCACAGTCAGTGCATTTGTAAGGTTTGTCTCCCATGTGGGTCCTCTGGTGCCTGATAAGGTTAAAGCTTTGACTGAAGCACTCACCACACTCAGGACATTTATAAGGTTTTTCTCCTGTGTGTGTCCTTTGGTGAATCACCAGGGTGGAACTCTGACTAAAAGTTTTCCAACACTCGGAACATCTGTAAGGTTTTTCTCCTGTGTGTGTTCTCTGATGTCTAATGAGATGAGAGCTGAGGCCAAAACTCTTTCCACATTCACAACATTTATATGGTTTCTCTCCTAGCTGGATTCTGCATTCTTCTATCACATTGCAGTTCTGACTCAAACTTTCTTCATATTCAGAACTTTCAGAGGATTTCTCTCCTGTGTGCGTTTTCCGGTGTGTAATAAGGTTTGAACTTCGACTGAAATTCTTCCCACATTCTGTACACTGATAGGGTTTTTCTCCTGTATGTATTCTCTGATGCTTTATCAGAGTAGAATTACAACCAAAGCTTTTCCCACACTCAAGACATTTGTAGGGCTTCTCACCTGTGTGTGTCCGCTGGTGGCGAATCAGGCTAGAACTCTGACTAAAACTCTTCCCACAATCGGGGCACTTATAAGGTTTTTCTCCAGTGTGAGTCCTCTGATGTTCTATTAGGACATAACTGTGGCTGAAGCATTTCCCACAAACAGGACATTCATATGGTTTTTCACCTGTATGGGATCTGTGATGCTGAATAAGGTGAGAGCTGCTACTGAAACTCTTCCCACAGTCAGGACATTTATAGGGTTTCTCTCCTGTGTGAGTTCTCTCATGGATAATAAGATGAGAGGTATTGCTGAAGCTTTTCCCACATTCACCACACTGGTAGGGCTTCTCTCCTGTGTGTGTTCTCAGATGCTGAATCAAGTGAGAGCTGTTACTAAAGCATTTCCCACATTCAGAGCATTTATAAGGTTTTTCTCCTGAGTGGGTCCTCTGGTGAGTACGCAAATGAGAACTATTATTGAAGCTTTTCCAACATTCAGAACATTTGTAGGGTTTCTCTCCGAAGGATGAATTCTGTTGGACAGAGGCATTGGCATGTTCTCCTGGGTCCCATCCCCAGGGCCTGGATTTTTCCTCCTCTTTTCCTGTAGAATTTCCCTGATTCTCTGACTTGCCATCATTCTCATAGGAATCATCACACCAAATCTCATCTCCTTGGGACCATGTCAATGGCATTTCTTTTATATCCACATGCTTATAATTTTGTGAGCCATCTCTTTTAGACCATTTTGAGGCTTTCTCTTTAAGTGTATCTGCCTTAAAGTTATTGTGTTGAACAGTTTCCAAATTATTCTTATTTTCATCTCCTGCAAGAATAAACAGATATTCTAAACATATTCCCTAATCTCTGCCAGGGGAAGGAAATTCTGAATTGCAGTGGAAGGAAAGGGACAACAAAGCAAAACCTCTTAAGTTATTTTATACGAAAAAAAAGTTTTTAAAGCTAGCTTTACTTCTTTTACTCAACGTGTTCATCAGAAGCAGGTGAATTTTTTGTACTCAGCAACAACACTAATGAAGTATTTGAACAGTTGCCGGCAATTGCCAAGGCAGATATCAATCTAAAAATAAGTTCATTAAACTTTATTCTAGAAGACTGAAAAGAAAAAAGGGGATCTGAGTAGAAGAGAAACTGAATAGAACACCAGCTGAGGTGAAAACTAGACAATATCTAGGTTAAAATCTGAGCAAATATAGAAATAACGATACCCACTATTTATTAAGAATAGTAGCTTTGCACATCGTTTATCATTAATCCTCAAAAATATGTCAGACAGATATTACCATTCATTTTTCTTAAAGATGAGAAAATTGAGGCTATGAGAGTAAACATAGCTTGTAAGTGACGAGCAGGGAATCAAATTAAAGTTTGTCTCTTTCTAATGCCCTGTTCTTTCTACACACTCTATAGTACATCTTATGATGAATTTCCAAAGGATTCAGATCATCTTCTTGATGTCTCACCTGTAAAATGGCTTTTCAAACTCTCCCTCTCCATGAAGCCATTAGAAGCTGAGACCAACAGTGTTTGCTCTTGCTCCATTACAATGATCACAGCTGGGTTAGAGATCAGAAATCCTGTGGAAGGAAACAGGTTATGTTTGGAAGCATTTGTTAAAATATATTGTTCTTCCTTCCTTCCCAGCCATTGAAACATAACAATTGTAGGCATCGAATGTTCTGTGGGCCATACTGAAAATAAGAAACATGGTTTTTATTTTTATTTATTTTTATCTATTTTTTTGTGAGGAAGATCAGCCCTGAGCTAACATCTATCGCCAATCCTCCTCCTTTTTTTTTTTTTTACCCTTTTTCTCCCCAAGGCCCCAGTAGATAGTTGTATGTCATAGTTGCACATCCTTCTAGTTGCTGTATGTGGGATGCCGCCTCAGCATGGCCGGACAAGCGGTGCATCGGTGCGTGCCCGGGATCCGAACCTGGGCCACCAGTAGTGGAGCGTGCGCACTTAACCACTAAGCCGCAGGGTCGGCCCCAAGAAATATGGTTTTTAGATGTCTTTTTAGGAAATCTTATCTCAGATGCAAGTGTTTACAATTAAAGGTTAACCCGATTTACCTTTCTAAAGAAATAATAAAAAAAATTAAACCTTCACATTAAAGTCTGAGGATCAAGCTTCAAAAATAGAATGAATACTAATACTCATTGTCCACTCAAAGCTGGGAAACACTTTTAATTGAAAAAACAAAGTAGTTTTTTGGAAAAGCCACCAATAATAAGAATTGAAAAAATCAATACGCAGGTATAAGAAGCAGCTAGAGAGAAAGCATGCTGTTTAGTTTAGAAAGAATAACTTGATCCTTGACAGAAGGATGAAACCTTTGAAGTTAATTTCAAAAGAAAGTTAGGATTTATATAACCAGTAACAAGAAATTAGGACAAAGCAGGGCTAGAATCATTATAGCTAATAACCCCTAAATACAACAGGAGGCTAACAAGGGACTTCTTCCTTGCCTCTTACTCTCTAAGTCATCATAATCACAATATCCCTTTCAGCCTAAACTTTATCTTCTGGAGCCAATTAGAATCCCTGACCTACTTTAAGGGACTGGAAAATGTGATCTATCACTGGAAGGCAGTTATATATGGACTTGGCATCCATTTCAGGTTATAAAGAACAGCATAATTCAGGAAAAATGAGAGCCTAAAAGAAGGATATACAAAGACACGCATATGGAAAACCAACAAAAAATGGTGTACTTATAATTTTCACCCTATTACTGCCTATTATGTGCCAGGCAGTGAAGTAAATACACATATTTCTCATTTAATTTTCACAATAGCCTTCTGAGGTGTATAAACAATTACTAGCATGTTATAGATGAGCAACAAAGACATTAAGAAACTTTCCAGGTCACACAACCAGGAAGTGGTAAAGCAGGATTCAGTCCCAAGCCTGTTTGGACACTGACTTTCACACTCATATCTATTATCTAGGGCAGAAAGCAGAGCTGCAAATGATCAGGGCCTTTATTTTGCAATATATTGACTGGGGTTTTAGAAAACAGATTAACATCCCCCTTATGCCCAAGGGAGCTGGCATTCCCTAAGCACCCTCAGCAATTAGGGATTTGTTATAGGAAAAGGTGAAACTAGTCTAAATTATAAATACCCCAGTACTTAAGTGGAAAAAAAGCTATAAACCTGAATACAAAAAAGAAAAAAAAAAAAGGAAAGTTGTTCAAATGGAGTAATATGTTTTGCTGTCTGGTTACTGACTTCTATCAACATCTTTGCAAAGAAAGCAAGAATCTGGGTAACAGATACCCATGCCACCATTTTCCTTGCTAATTAATTATTAATGTTGGTAGTAGCGGAGCCCTCAGGAACACTGGCTCAGCAAAACGGTAGCAAACTCAAGGCCTAAATAGTATTAAAAGGCTGTCCTTAAGATGTCATTCCACAGAGAAGGGCTGTTTTCACTGTCCTAGAGGAAAGAGGTGATGAGGACGGGCCGAGCTTTGGATTAGAAAGTCTTCCAAAGAAAATGCACTGCCTGAGGCTTAGCTTTAAGAACCGCTGGCAGGGAGCACAGGCTGGGGTACAGTGCGAGGTGAAGTTCTAAGAGACCAGATCGTCTCCTGCAACAAGATCCTTTAAGGGACGCCGCAGGCGAGCGAGGCGCGGTGGCCCGTGCGGCGCAGCAGCGGGATCCCTTTCCAGACGCACATTGCAGCCCGGGCGGCGCAGTTTCCACTCCTCCTGCCCGCAGCCCTCGGCTCCCTTCCCCCCGAGAAGGAACTCACTGTTCTGGGGGCTACACACAAGGCGCCCCGCACCCCCAGCAGGCCCAGCTGTCCGGGAGGAAGGAGCCCCCCCACTCCTTCTGTCCCCACCAACCCAGGGTCCTAAACTCTCCAACTCGCAGGACAGAAACAGGAAGTCTCCCCATCTTCCCCTGCAGGCTTTGCCGGCGCCTCTCTAGGAAACAGTGATGGCCAGCTCTCGTTGATCTTAACCCTTAGGGTCCCGGACCAGAAGGAGCGTGCAGGTGGATTTCCTTTCCTTGTGCTGTCTGTCGTTCGCCGACTGCGAGTCTCATTGCTCACGTTTGTCAGGCGCCTTATAATAGGGGCCCGATTGGAAGTTATACTTTTCCTTCCCCTCAGGGCTTCATCAGATTTATCATCATCGTTAGAATCAAAATGAATCGGAGTATTTGTTAAGCGCCTATTGTTTCTGTTACCACCGCCGTGAACAGGGATCTATATTTAGCTATCCGTGAAGAGCTACGGCATCCACCCACATATAAAACAATTAGTTTGCAAGGCACTGTTATTAATAACACTCGGAGAAGCAGTTAAACTCTCCTCTTTCAAAGAAAATAGAAGCCAATCCCTTCACCTCCCATATCAAACAGAAATCTACTTAAGTCTGCACCCCTGCGCCCTCTTTCTTCCCTCCTCTTACAACAGAGGATTGGTCCTTCACATTTAAAGCAAGCCTTTTACTGGCGCACTCTTTCCTTCCCACCTTGGAATCTTTACACTATCATCTAACCTCTCAATTCTCCTACCTTCAGCTTTTTTTTTTTTCTTACTATGTTTCCATTTTATCACTTCCCACTCACCTTCTAACCCATTTCTCCTACAGCAAAAACAAAAAATCACTAAGATTACTAATGACCCCCTTGTTGTTAGCGTGCAATTGATATTATTCATTTCCCAAGTCCTTTTACAGGTGTTTTGATACTGCTGAGCACTCTTTTCTTCTAGAAACAGTCTTTTGAGGTGACACTACATACTCTTCATTTTCCTTCCACATCTTTAGTCGGTTCTTAGTCTGTTTTACAAGCCTAGTCTTCACTAAATGTTGAGATTCCTCAAGGCCATCCTAGACCTGCTCCTCTTATCCTGGAATGTTCTCTGTCTAGGCAGTCTCATTCACTTTCACATTTTCAAATACCACCTACACGGACAACTCACAAATTTATATCTCCAGCCCAGGCTACATTTCTGAGCTCTTCACTCTTATAACCAATGGTCTACTTGACATCTCATATTAGAGGTCTCAATAACACGTCGAAACCAAAATGTCAAAAATCAAAATCATCTTGCTCACTTTCTTCTCCCATATACTGTGGAAATTAATAAAAGAAACCTTAACTAAATTGGAGTCAAGAGGGCCTGTAGGGGAAGTTCTCATACCCTCCCACAAATCCTCAATTACACCAAACAGGAACAGACAGGAGGCTTGCATCTTCCACAGCGGGTAAAACTACTCTACCACTGAAGGAAGATTTCTTTCCCTACCAGGCAACAATGCAGCCAATGAGAAACATCACAGCTCAGCCAATGAGAAGCCATTACTGCCCTGAACTGCTGCTTTTCCCCCAAGGACTTCTGTTTAGAACAGCCCCTCCCTATTCCCCCTTTTTCTCTATAAAGGAAGCTCCCCTCCTCTGTTTTCTGGATATGCCTACCGTTTGCCATAGCATGCATATCCCAAATTGCAATTCTTTTGGCTATTCCTGAATAAACTCATTTTGAGATAAAATAACAGGGAAATTTGCTTTTTAGGTTGCTATATATGGTGTCAGAAGAGTGGATCCAAAGGAGGCGGCCTCTGAGAGACAGCGACCCCCACAATCAAGCAAGGTACCTGCACCAGGCCTCTTGTGCTCATCACCTCTGTGAGTTGTGGCCTGCTTTTGGTTTCGTGAGTCTCCCCTTGGATTGCAAGCTCTGCTCCCTTTGCGTTCTGAGCTCTCAGACTTTATTCAGGAAAGGGAAAGGTTTTGTCCTTTTGGGGGAGGGACTTTGTCCTCCAGGTTCAAGGCTCTGTCCTTAGGTTCAAGGTGTCATCCTTGGTGGGTACTCAGTTGTTTTCTGAAAGTAGCACAGTTCCCTTTGGGGCTCTGGCTTGCTGAAAATCCAGGAATTTTTCTTTGATTTTCAGATTTCTTTTGGAATCAGGGCTAGGAATCCAACAACTTTTCTTTTGTTTTTAGATTTCTTTGGAAATCAGGGCTAGGACTCTAGCAACTTCCTTGGGTTTTCAGAGGAAATTTCAGAAATGGCATCCCAGTCATCTAAATGTTCTGAGGGAAACCCTCCTTCGGGGCCCCCAGCCGAGTTTATGTTTAAGAACTTTGGGCCCCCTACGTGCACATTTTTAACTTAGTGGGCCAAATAGACCAAAAACAGTCTGGAATTGCAATGGCTACTATGGGGAACTTTTTTTTTTTTTTTTTTTTTGTGAGGGAGATCAGCCCTGAGCTAACATCCATGCCAATCCTCCTCTTTTTGCTGAGGAAGACTGGCCCTGGGCTAACATCCGTGTCCATCTTCCTCTACTTTGTATGGGATGCCGCCACAGCATGGCCTGACAAGTGGTGCCTCAGTGCACGCCCGGGATCCGAACCCGGGCCGCCAGCAGCGGAGTGCATGCACTTAACCGCTGCACCACGGGGCCGGCCCTATGGGGAACTTTTGATCTCCCCAAACTAGCTTTTCTTAAAACTAAATTGGAAACTGTGGCTCTAAAATTAAGCAAAATAAGTGGTATGTCTATTTTCATTTGTACCTGGAGGCTTCTGGATACACACAAAGCTCTTAAACTTATGGAGACTTATTTTGTGGCCTAATATGTGATCAATCCTGGAGAATGTTCCATGTGCATTTGAAAAGAATGTGTATTCTTTGGTTTTTGGATGGAATGTTTTGTATATATCTACTAGGTCCATCTGTTCTAGTGTGTCATTTAAGGCCAATGTTTCCCTATTGATCTTCTGTTTGGATGATCTATCCGTTGGTGTAAGTGGAGTGTTAAAGTCTCCTATTATTATTGTGTTACTATCTATCTGTCTCTCTTTTTTTTTTTTTGGGAGGAAGATCAGCCCTGAGCTAACATCCATGCCAATCCTCCTCTTTTTGCTGAGGAAGACTGGCCCTGGGCTAACATCCGTGTCCATCTTCCTCTACTTTATATGGGACGCCGCCACAGCATGGCTTGACAAGCAGTGCGTCGGTGCGCGCCTGGGATCCGAACCGGCAAACCCTGGACCACCGCAGCAGAGTGCGTGCACTTAGCTGCTTGCGCCACCAGGCCAGCTCTCTATTTCTCTTTTTATGTCTGTTAATAATTGCTTTATATATTTAGGTGCTCCTACATTGGGTGCATAGATATTTACAAGTGTTATATCCTCTTGTTGGATTGTTCCCTTGATCATTTTGTAGTGTTCTTCTTTGTCTCTTGTTATAGTTTTTGTTTTAAAACCTATTTTGTCTGATATGAGTGTTGCTACTCCAGCTTTCCTTTCATTGCCATTTTCATGGAGTATCTTTTTCCATCCCTTCACTTTCAGTTTGTGAGTGTCTTTAGGTCTGAAGTGTGTCTCTTGTATGCAGCATATATATGGGTCTTGTTTTTTTAATCCAATCAGCCACCCTATGCCTTTTAATTCAGGCATTTAGTCCATTGACGTTTAAAGTAGCTATTGATAAGTATGTACTTACTGCGATTTTTTAACTTTTTTTCTCAGTGTTTTAGTAGTTCTTCTCTGTTCCTTTCTTCTTCGCTTGCTCTCTTCCCTTGTGGTTTGGTGGCTTTCTTTAGTTTTATGTTTGGGTCACACAAAGCTCTAAAATTGCCTCACTACATGATACTTTGTCTAAATTATCTAACACAAATGAAAAACTGAGGGAGAACAAAAGGGATTCTGAAGCCTCAGAATCTCCCTTCTTCTTTGTCTCAAGTACCATCTCGTCTTCCCAGACACCTTTGTCTTAGACTCCACCCCAGCAGCCATCTTGTGCCCAGGCTCCACCCCTGATGCCATCTTTGTCTCTTCCCCTCCATGAAAACCTGCCTCCTTTTAAAATCAGACCCTCTGAGGGTTCAAATGCTAAACCCCTAATTACTATTTCTAGGTTAACTATAGCAAATAAACAACTAGAAGAAAAGATTTAAATAGCAATTACCCTACTCTTTTGATAATAGACAAAATTACTCCAAAAACAGCTCTAAAAGGATCCTTACAGCATGCAAATAAAAACCTTTAGTAAAAGACTTTGGCCATCTGAACAAGTAAACTTACCTTAGTCCATCTGCCAGAAATACAATTTGGATCCACCTATTCTTTTGAGTGTTGTACCTGAGACATGGCTAAAATTTTTTAAATGAGAGCTATGAGATCTATGTTTATGTCTGTCTATGTGTATATGTATGCATGTTATAGAGATGTGATGTTTTTCTACCTCCAAATGGGATTGTTAGAATTGATTTGTAAAAAGCTCTATTTAATTGGCTTGAAATTAGGCACTTATAAATTAAGTATTCCTAACTCTCAGAAATATAATGGAAACTAACTCAAACGCTTTTCAAGTTTATATGATCTAGGATTTGTCTTTAGTAAACGAAAGCTAGCTTAAGATTGGTGTAAAAAAAAAGGCGTGTTTTCAGAGTTGTTAGTATTGGGTGTAATGCAAACGTGCAACTTTTTTCTCTGCCAGGTTCACTAGTCAAGTGGGCTCATGCTGTCTCTGTTACAAAATTTGTCAGAAAGAAAGCAACTTAAGATGATGCTTGGCTATTTAATGTCTAATCTAAGCATGATTGTTAAAAGCAAGTAATTAAAATAAATGTAAATAGGATCAAAGTTTATACCAAGTTAAACTAAATAATGGATAGTCATTGAATACACAAATCATTTTCCAAACAAGATGAAATACTAAAACATTAATTACTGAACAAAGGTTTATCTACTTTTGGCTTCCTATTGCAAAGAAACTAAAGACAAGTTTGAGTCTGTTGGTAACCATGTCTTGTGCCATGTTGAAAGACTGCACTATTCAAAAGGGCATATACTCCTAGAAATTATGAAATATATTTATAAATCTGCCAGTCTAT